TGACAGACAAAGATTCAGGAGGCCTGGGTTCGAATCCCTTCTCGGCCATGGAAACTCACCGGGGAGCAGTCCTGTTTGGGTTGCTGCAAGCCAGTTTTGACCTGAAGGCGCTTAACAACAGAAAGTGGATGTTCACAGTGTTTGCACCAGCCTTCTGCCATAGGAAGGCAAAAGTGATGTGAGCTTTTCAGTTTTGAGACTCGAGTTTTAGGGAAGATTAGATTGTGGTGAGGTTAGGGTTTTGCAAAGAATAATGGTTTTAGTAATACACTAAGGGGTAGAGAAAGCCAACTTATTCAAATAGAACTGAAAAGCCCTAGTCTCTGTTTAAGTCTCCTGCGGCACAGTGGAACATGTTCAGGTACGGCAGTCCTTTGTGTTTTTGCTTGAAACATACATAAAGTGGCAGACTGGAACTTTGTCGCCTCATTAATTATCCAGACAAGTGCAGTGGTACTCACGCCTTGCTGCCTGTATTCATTCCTTGGCAGTAGTTATATTTATTTATTTAAAATATTTCTATGCCACCTTTCTCCTGTAGGCTTTCCCTAGGGCACGGGTCAGATCCAGTGGGCTGGATCCAACGGCAGAGGTTCTTCTCCCACGCTGGATCTCTTCCAGTTTGTGGGAAGACCACACCCTGCGCCAGCACGATGGATTGTTAATGGGCTTGTGGAGTTCAGAGAAGGAAGAGGAGAAGGCCCACTTTGATTTGCGCTCTTCCTCATCCTTTCCTTCCTTCCTGAGCATCCTGGTGGTTCTGTTTCAGGGGCAGGAGCCAATCCTGGAGGCGGCGGCATCCCCCGAGGCCTGGGAGGATTTCTCCGTCTGCTGCCAGAAGCCGCGTTTTGGGGATTCCTCACAGGAGAACAGAACTCATGGCACCTCGTGGGGTAAAGCGATTCCTTCCGTCTCCTTTGAGAGACCTGTGAATTTCCTGAGGAAATGTCGGACCCTTTCTCTCCCTTGCTCCCCGGCGGCCTTCTCACAGATGCCAACAGTACAGAGGCTGGTTTTGGTCAGAAACACTTTGCGTGTCTCTCTCTCTCTCTGTGTATGAGAGAGAGAGGCGTCTGCCTTTGGCCTCTCCTTGCATCTCTTTGCACCCGTTCTAAAAAGTCATGTTTATCTCTCTTTTGTCTTCTTCACAGAGAACGGAGTGGTGCCACAGACTCCCGCCGAAGCAGGAGCCTTGCTCGGGCGGCCAGATCTGGTAGGTGAAGTGGATCGAAAACTTGGTATTTTCTCCTGCTTCCTTCCTAAGCTCACGTTCAAAGCGTAGGTCTTTTCTTTCTGACCCGCTCCCAGCCATGTTCTGTGTTCTGCAAACAGCCCATCGTTCAATCTCATTTTAACAGGGAAGCCACGTTGGGATATGTTGCTCTTTTTTAAACCACAGAAAACATATCTCTTTTTTTTCAAAGCCTCTTGGAATGGTGGTTAAACTGCAGTACTGCAGCCAAAACTCTGCTCACGATTTGAGTTCAACCCCAGGTTGCCGATTCAAGGTCGACTCGCCCTTCCATCCTTCTGAGGTGGGTAAACTGGCAATATGTAGCCTGTAGAATTAACTTGTAAACTGCCCAGAGAGTGCTTTCAGCGCTATGGGGCAGCATAGAAGCGGCACATTTTAAAAAGACACTGGAAGCAGAATCTCCATTGACTTTGCACTGCGCCGAGAAGTTAATTCTCTGGTCACGTGTAAGGTTGGTGCAATAGCCATTCCCCAGGGATGACCCACAGACAGGAAAGGCTGCCGCCTTTGGAAGCAGGAGGGTTTTAGGGAGCTCCTCAAAGGTGGACCCAGGTGGAGGGAGCAGTGGTGGACCTCGGCCACAATTAAGGGACATGTTTCATTAAAAGGGGAATTGAAAATAAAACAGCCAACATTCTAATGCCATTGTACAAAATGCTGGTAAGGCCACACCTGGAGTATTGTGGACAGTTCTGGTCACTGCTCCTCAAAAAAGACAGAGTGGAACTGGAAAAGGTGGAGAAGAGAGTGACTCAGATGATGACTGGGCTGGGGTACCTGCCTTACGAGGAAAAGCTACAGTGTTTGGGGCTCTTGAGTCTAGAGAAAAGGCACCTGAGGGGGGACATGATTGAGACACATAAACTATGCAGAGGATGGATCAAGTGGATGGAGGGAAGCTCTTTTCCCTCTCACACGGTACTAGAAGCAGGGGACATCCACTCCAAGGGAGTTTTGGGAGAGTGAGAACAGACCAAAGAAAATATTTCTTTAATCAGCATGTTGTTAGCCTGTGGAACTCCTTGCCACAGGATGGGGTGATGGCATCTGGCCTAGAGGCGTTGAAAGGGGGATTGGACAGATTTCTGGAGGAAACGTCTATCACAGGTTACAAGCCATGATGGGGAGGCATAATCTCCAGGTTTGAAAGGAAGGGACCTCCAAATGCTAGATGCAGGGGAGGGGGATCAGGAGATAGAGATCTCGTTGCCTCGTGTACTTCCAGAGGCATCTGGTGGGGCCACTTGTGAGATACAGGAAGCTGGACTAGATTGGGCCCTTGGCCTGATCCAAGAGGGCTCATCTTCTTAGGTTCTTATATCACAGAAGGCAGAGGAGACCCTTGCCCACCCTGCTTCGAATGGGTCCCGATGGTCAGTTTTGCAGTGCAAGAATAAACCTGCAGGTGGGCATGGAATGTGGGGGGCAGGGAAGCTGAGAAAAGCCGTGGGGAGGCCCACAGAGGTTTTCCCAGCTTGATCACAGAGAGCTTTCTGCCCTCCTCTCTGGAAGATGAGGTCCTCTTTAATGTTCTTACCAGATAAGGTTTCCAATCTCTGGGCCGTCATCCCTGTGTTTTCTCACCCAGGCCTGAAAGAGGATCTGAGAAACACACAGACACACACACACACCGTCCCAACAAGCCATGTTCCTTGTTCCCCCTCTAGTGTTTTTCCCTGCACCAAAATGTCAAATGCAGCAAAGGGCAAAGGGACCCGGCTCTTTCGTTCCCTCCTCCAAACTCTGGTCCCCAGTCTCAGCCACTCCCCTGAGTTAAGACAAATTCTGTGAGATGGAAGCCAGGAGCGCAGCCTCTTTTCTCCCGCAGCGGTTGGGAGTCTCCCTCGCCGACTTCTCTTTGGTGGGTGATGAGTGAAGGACAAGAGGATTTTCACCCCTTTTCTGGTCCTGTCTGTTAATGTGCATGTGTGTGTGTGTCTGACGTTTCCTTCCTCTTTCAGAGCTCTGTGTCCTTCGAAGAAGTGGCGGTCTACTTCACCAACGCAGAGTGGGCGCTGCTGGGGGCGGCCCAGAAGGCGCTGCATCGGGAGGTCATGCTGGAGAATTCCAGGAGCGTGGCCTCTTTGGGTAAGGGTCCCTCCCTTTTCTGTTCTAAGTGTTTCCTTGCAAGCGTAGGTGAGCAAGAAGACCAGTGCAGCCTTCCCAGAATTGAGCTCTGTCTGTCTGGCAGGACCGTAAGGTGTCATCATATTTTTTTTCTCCATCTTTGGCCCAAGTCCTCTTGCAGAGAAATCTCCAAAGCCATTCTGTGTCGCAGGCTGAGTTGTTTGGGGCTTGGTATGCAGCTGAGGATTCCTGCGTGGATTTCTTAACTTACTGCAGTTTGCCTCCAAAAGTTACACTTTTGGTGTAACTGCACAACAGGACTCAGGCCATTCATTTTTAACCTTTGGTCTGGTGTTGTTGTTTTTTCCTTTCAGGCTGTCTGCTGTGAACGAAACCATTTTATCTCTATTTTTCAATGCTTGTAATCGTCCCCCTTAGCAGTCTTAAAGTACATTCATTCCTATTGGACACAATCCAACACTGATCTCATTGGAGATAAGAATATTGTTACCTCCCACATTTAGCTCCGTGCATCTTTGACCACTGACAGAGCCTTCCCGGAGACCCCTTTGACAGTGGGTGGCGGGCACGACTATCCTCATCCTACTTTCATTGCCCAACAATCTGGCAAGGTGTCTGAGGCAAAAAAAAAAAAACAACCTGTGATTGGCCCAGAGTTACCTTCTGAGTTTCATGGTGGAATGGAGATTTGAACACAGATCTCCAGACTCATAAGAATATCCCTGGATAAATAAAGAGAGGGACAGAATAATGGGACACGTCTGTGGGAAGCAAAGTCATATAAAAAGCTGTTAAAAAGTGGGTTTTTTGCACAGAGCATGGACAGAGTTCCTACTCCAGTTTTCTGAAGATGCCGGCCACAGAGACTGGCATAACGTTAGGAAGAACAAGCTTGGGAAGCAAAGTCATATAAAAAGCTGTTAAAAAGTGGGGTTTTTTGCTTGTTTGCTGAGCTGTACCTGTTCTACCAAGCTGGAAATGTTGTGTTTGTGTGTGTGTGTGTAAGTAAGTAAGTAAGTAAGAGAGAGAGAACAGATAGACTAAAAGTGACCGTTTAAGAAGGGCTTCATTGTAATGCCTTTTGATAACAAAACTTGAGGTGTTCATCTTTTGTAGACCTTTTTGGAAACATGACACCATGCTGTTCTGGTAAAAAAACAACAACAAAATCTAGAGTATTGAAGCACTATTAAGACCAACAGATTTTTCTCCTGGTGAGCTTTTACAGATTACAGTTTGGTGACCACCAGAATAAATTAGCCTTAAAACGGTGTCATAATATTTCTTTTTGTGGGTTTTTGTTGTTTTTCTGTGCTTTCATTTGGCTGATTTGGTGTTCATGGGAACCCTGAACCTTTCCAAGGCCAGAATGCAATTGCTGATTTACTTTGGTGTAAGGGAAACCACGTTAAGTCTCAACCCCAGATTGCTGCTGCTCATTTTACGAAGTAGTAGTTGGACTCCTAGATGCATGGGCCCCGGTGCCTTGAACATGGACCTGACATGTATTAGAAGTTGGCATAAGAATCGCATGTTGTTGCACCACTAAATTAGGCACGGATGTGGTGGCACTGCAGGTTAAACCGCAGAAGCCTCTGTGCTGCAAGGTCAGAAGACCAGCCATCATTAGATCGAATCCACACGACGGAGTGAGCTCCTGTTGCTTGTCCCAGCTCCTGCTGACCTAGCAGCTCAAAAGCATGTAAAAATGTATATAGATAAATAGGTACCACCTCGGTGGGAAGGTAATGGCGTTCTGTGTCTAAGTCACACTGGCCACATGACCACAGAAACTGTCTTTGGCAAAACACTCGCTCTGCGGCTTGGAAACAGAGATGAGCACCACCCTAGAGTCGGACACGACTGGACTAAATGTCAATGACAATCTTTACTTTTACCTTTACCTTCTCTCTGTCTCTTTCTCTCTCTCTATCTGCTTCAGCAGGTAACAGGGGGGACGGCAACCCTGGCGATGGTCCATGTGAGGTCTCATCAGAGAAAACCAACCATCTGGAGACGGACGAGGTCTTTGGAAATCAGGAGGGACCAAAGCAACCTGAGGGAAGCCCAGCAGAAAAGGCTCAGGACGCGTCTTCCCCCAAGATGAACAGCAAACATGGCGTTCCGGCCCAGCACGCCAGACACAAAGGGAAGAAAAGGAACGTCTGTCCCGTGTGTGAGAAAATTTTCAGCCACAAGTCAGACCTCAACGTCCACCAGAGGATCCACACGGGCCAGAAGCAGCATAAATGCTCCGAGTGCGGGAAGAGCTTCCGGCAGAGTTCACACCTGGCTTCCCACCAAAGCATCCACACCGGAGAGAAGCCGCACCAGTGCCCGGTGTGCGGGAAGAGCTTCCGGCAGCTGGCGTACCTCACCTCGCATCAAAGGATCCACACCGGAGAGAAGCCGTACCAGTGTCCGGAGTGCGGGAAGAGCTTCAACCGGAGCACGAACCTCACCTGCCACCTCAGGAAACACACGGGGGAGAAGCCCTACCACTGCTCCGTCTGCAGCAGGAGCTTCTGCGATAAGTCCGGCTTCAATCTGCACCAGCTCATTCACTCCAGGGATAAGCCTCACAAGTGCTTGGTGTGCGGCAAGAGTTTCATCCGCCGCTCGCAGCTCACCTCCCACGAGGGGATCCACACGGGGGAGAAACCCTACAAATGTTCGGTGTGTGGAAAGAGCTTCCATCGGAATTCCAACCTGACCTCCCACCGGAGGATCCACGTGGGGGAGAAACCTTTCGGCTGCTCCGAGTGCGGCAAGAGCTTTTACGATAAGCAGCACCTCCTCATCCACCAAAGGATGCACACGGGGGAGAAACCCTACAAATGTCTGGAGTGCGCGAAGAGCTTCCGGCGGCATGCCAACCTTGCCTCCCACCAGAGGATGCACACGGGACACAAATCCTATAAGTGCGTGCACTGCAGCAAGAGCTTCTACGACAAGCATCACCTCGGGATACACCAAAGGATCCACACGGGAGAAAAGCCGTACCGGTGTCCGGAGTGCGGGAAAAGCTTCAGTCAGAGTTCGAGCCTCACGTCCCATCAGAGAGTCCACACGGAAGAGAGGCCCTACCAGTGCTTGGAGTGTGGGAAGAGCTTCAGCCAGAAGCGGAACCTCATCCGACATCAGAAAATCCACTCGGGAGAGAAGCCGCACCAATGCCTGGAGTGCGGGAAGCGCTTTTATGACCAGTGTCAGCTGAAGAGGCATAAAAGGATTCATGGCAGGGACGAGAAAGCCCGGTGTTCTTGGAGCCTTGGAGGGGATTCAGGCAGGGCACCCACTTTACATCCTCTCAGAGCATTCAAACAGGAAAATCATTGTATAATTTCTGAGATCAGGTAACAAAAGATGTTGCTTCCCCAGTCCTGGGAAACATAGAATCCTAGAATAATGGAGTTGGAAGGGGCCTGTAAGGCCAACGAGGCCAACCCCCTGCTCAAGGCAGGAATACGAATCAAAGGATATCTTCCAGGTGGTTGCCTACCTTTCTCTTGAAGGCCTCCAGTGTTGGAGCACTCACCACCTTGCAAGATCGTTGGTTCCATTGTCGTACTACTCTTAACAGTTAAGAACGTTTTCCTGATATTCAGCCAAAATCTGGCTTCCTGTAACTTGAGCCCATTATAATGTGTCCTGCATTCTGGGATGATCGAGAACAGATCCTGCCCCTCCTCTGTAGGACTGCCTTTCAAGTCTTTGAAGAGTGCTATCCTATCACCCCCTCAGTCTACTTTTCTGAAGGCTAAACATGCCCACGCAGGTCTTCATTTCCCTGATCATCCTTGTCACCCTCCTCCGAACCTGTTCCAGTTTACTGGCATCCTTCTTAAAGCGTGGCATCCAGAACTGGACACAGAACTCACGCTGAAACCTAAGAAGTGCCAAATAGAAGGGAACTAGCACTTCACAGGATTTGTAGACTTCTATTAATGCAGCCGAAAATCGCATTTGCCTTTTTTGCAGCCACACCACAATCGCTGGCTCTTTTTTAGCTCATGATCTAAAACAATTCTAGGATCCTTCTCACTCCTGGTATTGCTGAGCCAAGTATCCCCCATCTCGAAACTGTACATTTTGTTTCTTTTTTCCCCCCCTGGTGTAGAACTTTGCACATTTACCTGTTGAATTTCATTCTGTTGTTTTCATCCCAGTGCTTTTTTAAATTCCCCCCCTCCCATCCTCCAGGGTATTAGCTATTCCACCCAATTTTGTGCCATCTGTGCAAAATTAGAGTATTCTTCTTGGGAGTTACCCTTCAAAAGATACTTGGAGTAGAGAAAGAGCTTTGGTCACTGTCTACAGTTTTAAGGTGCAAGATCGTTTGCGTGTGACCAGGTCATTTATGAAAACTGTCCTGTGATTTTCATCTTGTGTTGCATGGAAGGGGCCTAGATGACCAGCCTCTTCCCTGAACAAACATCCCTTAACTGGGATGCAGAGTCACTTATAGTCTGTGAAACAGGTTTTGTGCCTTAACAGGATTCCAATTCCTTCCCAAAGATTATTAAGCGAGCAGCCTGTATGAGGTTATTTTTTTCAAAATTTCCATGTGCCTTAATTCTTTCCCAAGTTTGTATTTTCTTATCAAAAAGTATATAGTATTGCATTAAATGCGGTTCACTGATAACAACGCAGTAGTCATTGTCTTATATAGTCCTGGTCAGTGGTTCCTGAACTTGGATAACCCAGGTGATGAGTTGGACTGCAATTCCCAGAAACCTTGGCCAGCACAGCTGGTGGTGTAGATTTCTGGGAATTGCAGTCCACGAATACCTGAGTTACTCAAGGTTAGGAACCACTGGTCTAGGTGATCATTTGCCATAAATCTTGAATTATCTAGTGGCAGGGTCCTGAGATTTCCGATTTCCAGAGCTGGGTATTGTTAGCTAGTGATGTGCACAGAGATGCATATATTTTTTTAAATGATTATAGTACAGGAAAGATTGATTTGAAGCTTTTACCTACTTCATATTTGAGTCTATGGCAACAGACTGTATTTTTCCTTGTATAAGATGCCCCCATGTATAGGACCCTCCCCGGTTTTTGAACCCAAAATTTCTTTCTTTGCAAGAAAGAAATTTCCTTGCGTGGAAAATGCTTCCTGCCTCCCATTTTCTTTGCAAAATGTGGAGGGGGAAAGCAGCTATTTGCAACAAAAGCGTAGGGGGAAAGCAGGAATTGCTTTCCTCCCTCCACTTTCTTGCAAGGAAAGTGTAGGGGGAAAGCAGGGATCAAAGCAATTTGATCCCCCCCGACTTACTTCCATGTATAAAACAACCATCAATTTTTTCATCTAATTATTTTAGGAAAAGTATCATTTTATACATGGAAAAATATGGTAAAGTAGTAGTAGAAGAGGAAAACCAGACATGAGATAAACTGATTTATTCAAGAAGACTGTAGTGCTTTGTAAAAATGTACCATTTGGAATTGACCAGTGTCAAAGAAGCCTCCTGATCCATAGAGTCCATTCCAGCTCTGCAGTTCTAAGATGATGATTATGATGATGAATGAACTTCAACTCAGGAATTCCCCAGAAAGAATTCTGAGAGTTGCAACCCACAGTCTGCATTTTGTTCACCTGGATCAAAAGGCAGTAGGGCCTTACTTCCTGTTGTTATTGTGCAAAAAAAGAGAGAAGCTGCTGTGAGGCTTCCTGGGAGACATAGTTCTTTGAGTGTTACCCTCTATTGTTCCTAAAGGGCAGCGAGACTACAGCTCCCAGAAAGCCCTGCAGCAGCTCCCTCTCCCCAATTGACAATGGGAGGCACAGGCCTCCGAGGTAGGCCTTGTTCCGGGTGAGCAAAATGTAGGTGTGGGCGCGGAAGCTGGAACTCAGAGAATTCTGTCTGGGGAATTGGGGGAGGTTGAGATTTCAGAGAAGAAGGACATGGCCCACGAAGGACCAGGTCAAGATTGTTGAGGGCAGGACTTTGCATATGTTGGACGTGGTTTGGCAGTGCCCACCAGCATGAATACAGCAACACAGGAAACTGATCTGTCCTAGCCCAGTGTCGCCAACCGTTTAAGTTCTCCTTGAGTTTCCAGGAGGTCCTGGATTTTCCCTGCCTGTCTCCCAGGAAGAGTGTCCAAAATGAGACGAGAAGCGAAAGAGAGCTCGCCCGCAGGCTTGTTTTCTTTCTCGGCCACAGGGCTGGTGCAGAAATGGCCAAGGCTGGGTGGCTGAGTGATGCCGAAAACTAAAATCCCAAACCAAGAGCAGATCATGAATTTCCTTCAATATATTAAAAATCAAGCAAGCTTTCAAACCCGGCTGGATCCGGGTGGCAGGGCAGGGGCTGGTTCCATCCGCATGAAGTGGGTGGTTTCTCTTCAGGCCATGCGCCAAAAAAAAGGGGCCACCGAACAAGCTATCCCAGAGGCCAGATCAGGCTGAACAGCCCTATTCTTGCATCCGCACGCAAGGACTGGGTGGATTTTGAGACATCACTGAATTGATTGGGGGTGGGGAAACACCTGGTAGTATTGCTTGGGTTAGATCATCATCATCCTCCTAGAACTGCAATAGCAGGTGATGAGAGACCAGACTGAAAGGGAGCCACCCCTACATGCCCTTAAAGGGTGGCCAGCCAGCAGAATCCTACCTGGG